AAGAACATAGATGAAGAGAAAACATTAAAAATGGTGAATTTCTTTTCTAGTTGAACATTCCTCACTAGATAACTCACATAATCATTTTTTTCTAGAAACTTTTAAGTTACATGTCTTTCTTCGAAAGACAACAGAAAGATATATATATATATACGGAAGGCACAAAGTTACAAAAACAAATTCCAGCTTCATGTTTCCGATATAGTAGGAGCTAGAACAATATTAGTATATTTATAACACTCAGTGTTTGTGTCATTTGCAACTCTACTGACATTCAATTAACTTGAATAAAAAAGTTTATTATTTTTTCTTTATTTATTCAAAAATATCATGGTTTAGTGAGTGTCGTAACTTTTTCTACGTTTTCTTCTTTCGCTGATATTGATACATACATGAAGCATAAAAATGTTCTCAATTAGTTGAGAAATTTCAAGAAAAAATGAGTTATCAAAAAGCAAATATGTCATTTGTCTCTTACTGCAATACAATGCCAATGGAGACGCGTCACTTATAGATCGCTCTGATTAGTTTCAGCATAATGACAAGTGGAATTTCAGCGTTGATAAGAAATAGGATATTCTTACAGATGTCCAACTATACTTTTTCTCCCTTATACGTACGAGATTAACCTAGTTTCTATTATCATCTATTATAGTATTTTTCCTTTCATGTTTCTAATACTTATGCGATCATAAAAAGTTTCGAAATCTTTTTTCTTCTCTCTCTTAAAATATTAAGAACCTATTGCAAAGTTGACGATGAATTTGTCTTAGAGCTACAAATCCGTTAGAGATACAATAGAAAATTAACTGTTTGTTTGTTTGTTTTACTTCCTTACAAATGAATAGAGGGTATGCTAAATAGAACCGAGCGAATTATATTAGAATATGTTTTTCTTCATCTGTTAAAGTTGAAATATCTTTATATTTATTGTAATAATAGAAAAAATCTTTGTTTTATTCTTTACGTCTAGCAAGTTCTTTTAGATGTATACGAATAAATTGATTATGTATTAAAACTGAGACAGTCATATGGTTTGTGGACTTTCTTTTCGCAGTTAGTCAGAAGAAAATTTTGTTAATATATTCAAGATAGAATTTCATTATCAGAAAAGCACAGGCAATTATAAATTTTATGATGAATACATTGAAATCCTCAATCCCTTTTTTTATGAGCTTTTTTGATTCGATTCCATGTGATAGTGTGCCTTAAGTTATCATCAGTCGTTATTTCTTTAGCATAATCTAGTATACCGATCGTTTTAAGGATATAAAAATTTATTTTAATAGTCTAAACGTTTATTTACATGTTCAAATGTATATTTTTTTCATTTTTCCTTCTCTTCAGTTTTATTCTGTTCAGCTGTGTATTATTTATGTTAAATTTGTCATTCATTTCGGTGGATTACTGATTCAATCATCGATTTTTTATAGGGTAGTGTCATTTTCTCTCTTTCATTCATAGTAGTAACCAGTTCTTTCTCGGTCGTCTTTTCATTTCTTTAACAACTTATTATGAGTTAAGAACTGATATAGATGGTACATTGATAATCAAAAGGAATATGTTGAAGATAAGTTAGCCTTTAAATTTTTAGTGCTTGTATTGAAATCACAGATACCTATGGAACAATCAAATGTCATCGATAATGTTAGTCTTTCTTGTTTTCCTATTTATTGGTCAGAGTAAAATAGTAGAATTTTCTTTTTTCTCTGTATCTTCTGTTCACATTAATAAAAATAAAGAAGAAGTGAATGGTCATATTTCATAAGTGTTAGACTCATTTTAATTTTGTTTTTGTGTTTAACGATGATACAAAATAGAACAAATATAGGAGATATGTGTGATACTAACATCTAAGTTATTATTCAAAATTCATTAAACCCAATTGATATCCTAGTCAAGAGAGTACGTGATTAGTAGCAATATTAAAACAGTTTTTAACCTAACTTGTTTGTCATTACATATATTCTTATCTCAACCCTTTCCTCGATCTTCTCCGATTGGTCACTGGAGTAAGTATTTCTAGAATGATTACAGAAAAATAAAGGAAGAGTTACATTTGAAAGCGATAAGGGCATCCTCTTTGTAGTGTACTTCATCAGTAATCGATTGATAAAAAGAATTTTTTTTCATCACTTCATTTTTGAAATATCGGGTCTAGAAAATCGATATTTTTTAAAAGACGAGTAAATTCGAATTTTTGAAAAAATGGTTGTCTATCTCTAACCAGAAGAGATCTTTCGGAATTTTCGTACGATATACATCGATGAAATAGTTCACTGCTGAGTCTGGTATGTTTTGAAATCTTCACGATAACTTGACGAATTGCACACATTAAGGTATACGATTGACTACGAAGTCATTATTGAGCAGCTGAAAGGCAATGAAAAATGAAGTTAATATATGTATTATAAACCCTAACTCATGAAACTTAGACAACATGTATTTTCTTTTGAAATTAATTTTCAACAGTTCACAGTCGTTTTTTCATTACTTCCACAACATAGAATAGATGTTGCTTTTATCTACTAAATAATATAATTACTAGACTAATCAAATATTCCTACGTGAATATAATGATATTTCGTGAATCAGACCACATTATTAGCATAGGACGAATAATCGACCAACGAGACCTTATATAATTTCTAAGAGAGCTTTTATCATCTTCATGTACGATCTTGCAAGATGTTGTATGATGATCTTAAGACCAGCGTTTCTGACCATATGATATTAATCTATTCTTATATGATCGTATCCTATGGTCTTGTAAGATCTTAATTCTTCATCAAAGATGCTATGAAACTATGGAAAACACCACATGGTTAGGATTTGTTGCTATAATTTTTCATTGTCTTCATTACTGTCCAAGACTAAATTCATTGTTAAAAAGTAGTAAAAAGAATATTTTCAATTCGAAATACAAAACGAATACGATATAGTTTTATCAAAACATTAATTAGTTTTATTAATTGTTTAAATACTTTCTCTAGATGATATAATACAATGTTTCGAATAGTTAGATGTTAAAATGAGGATAACTATTTCTTTAGTTACAATCTGCAAAGTGACACATACTATTTTATATTGAATCTGAACTATTGCATTTTAATGGTAGATAAATAATTATATTAGATTTAATTCTATTCCTGTAAACAATAAAATAATGATCTCAAACTATTTTAGTTTAGCATCATATAAGATAAATAAATGTAAATATATAATGTAAAAAACGAAATAATTGCAATAGTTGTATGAGAATAATCTGTCTGATAATCAAAATATGAATAAAATAAAATATTCGCATCGAAGTTATTCCGGTTTAATATAGTGTGCTATAATTAATGCGATGAAATTAATTTAATTTAATGGTATAATACATTTTCTCTCTGCAACACTAAGACTTGAGATAAATGTGTAACAGTTTCATTCACTTTTATATAGTCCATTATGATCATGAACAGATTAAGAATCCTCCATCGTGGAGAATTATAATTCAAAACTACTTTATAAAACGCAACATTTTTATCTGAAGATGTAGCATCTCTCAATTATTCATTTCTATGCATAAAACTAGTTATAGAAACCATCTTCGATAAGAAAAATCTTATGGACAGAACCGTGTAATATTCACAATAGCATCTTTCAGTAGAAAACCAACTAAATCTGGTCGTAAGTTGAATTCTACGATTCAATTGAATCTGATACGATTTTTGTTACATCTTCCCATGTGGATAGTACGCTATTTATAAAGTTATTTTTATTAAAGGATTAATCATATAAAAAAGACAACATCAAAACGTGGTTTTTAAGCTTTGAACTCTACAAAGAATGTCAAGTTCAAAATAACTTAGTGAATGAACATTATTGAAATATAATTTAGATGAATTCTTATAAGAATTCAATCTTGTTATCATCTTGTAACAAATGACTCGTTGCATTTGCCTTCGTTTGGGATAAAAAAATTAATTATCTTTGAGTCAGTTCAATAAAATCACTAATTGTTATTAGTTAGCGATAAAAATTAATTCAAAAGCTTTTTTCCTGCAGATCATATAGGCGAATACTATTATAAATACTATTTAGTTGTTATTTCAGAGAATAAAAAAAAGAAACCAAAACGATACTTTATTCATGTGAATAGAGAAAATTTTGGAAGTACTTGGTTAGTTAAAAAGCCAACATTAACAAAATTTTGCATCTTTATACATAAAACATTGGTTTTTTGCATAGTAATAGTAGGCTATAACGACTTTTCTACTAGTGATTATTATTATTATCTTCCATGAAAGTAAAAATGATCTATGGAATGCTTCATATGAATTTTTCCCAGCCTATTATATATCACAAAATCAGTCCGTACCGACTATGCAAAGTGAAGATATATCAATTTTTTTATCGTACTAGTATTTGTGGCCTATCCTGTGTGTGCTATTATGAAAATAAATATTAAACTAACGAGATTTCAACAGAAACAATAGTCTCATTTGTTTACTAATTGTCAGTCATCTATTTGAATAATTCGATTAATTTTACTCACGTTCGAACTCTATCATAGCTTGCTCACTCTTTGGCACACAGAAAGAAAACCGACACTAACATTAATGTTATGGCAACTGATTTATTGTATTTTCCTATGTTCCAGAAATAGCTGTAGTTTTTGGTAATACGATTCGATAAATATTTTATTCTAAAACTAGAACAAGTGCATGATTCTGCATTAACGAATATTGAAAGTGTGATCATTCACAAGAAAAAAAGAGTACAATTGTAAAAAAATCCCATTTTCAGCTATAAATTTCAATGAATATGTTAAATAAATTGGATCTCAAAAAAATAAGTTCATTCACACTTTGATAGTTTGTAGAATTTCATATTTTGGTAAGAATATTTCTTCTGATAAAAGTTTTATTAATTCTTTCTGATCATATCAGTTAAATTGTAAATATCTAATGAAATGTCAGCAAAATTGACAGTAACTCAACACAACTCAAAAAAAAATGGATGATTCATTTTTAATGAAATCAATGTTTATCTCTACTTCATACTTTTGTTTCATTTTAGTGCAAATACGTGCAAGTTTCATTGATATTCATCCAAATGCAACGTGGTCAACGAATGGTATCACTGTTGCTGGAGGAAATGGAAAAGGCAGTGAAAACAATCAACTCGATTGGCCACATGGTTTGTACGTCGACGATGATCAAACGATTTATGTTGCTGATACTGACAATCACCGTATTGTGGAATGGAAATCTGGTGCAACAAACGGCACAGAAGTTGCAGGTGGAAATAGAGCAGGGAATGAAGCTCATCAATTAAATAGCCCATTTGATGTGATTATCGATAAAGAGAGCGATAGTCTCATCATTTCCGAGTACAATAATAACAGAGTAGTTCGATGGCCTCGTCGAAATGGTACTCGTGGAGAAACAATTATTTCAAATATCTCTTGCTGGGGTTTGACAATGAGCGACAATGGTTTTCTCTATCTCGTTAACGATTTAAAACATGAAGTGAGACGATATCAAATTGGTGATACTAAAGGAACAGTGGTTGCAGGTGGCAATCGAAAAGGAAATCGTCTCAATCAACTCTCTTACCCCTCCTACGTATTTGTCAATCGAGATCGTTCAGCTTATGTGTCTGATACTGAAAATCATCGTGTCACGAAATGGCAAGAAGGTGCAAAACAAGGTATTGTCGTAGCCGGTGGTCAAGGAGAAGGAAATAGTCTTACACAACTGCATTCGCCTAATGGAGTCGTTGTCGATCAATCGGATACTGTCTATGTGGCTGATTCTAGGGGTGGCACTTTAACTTTAAACTTTACAAGTTAAAGTGGTTAAA